GCTGCGCATGCGTGGGCCGAGCTGGGTTGGGCCACGCCGGGCTGTTTCGCCCTTTTCTTTTCTAATGAATTAGTTAATGCTTTTCTAAATTAAATTATGAACTGATCTTTCATAATTAGTATAAAATTATGTAAGTGTCCTAAAATGGTGAAGTAAATTTTGTTAGATTTCTAAATTCATGATCTATCTTTTAGTGTATTTAGTTCATATAGTTCTGTGGTATCCTTATGGTTACTTTATTTGTTTTTAAATGCTTATTATTATGATTAATTAGAAAATGAATTTTTGTGATGAAATGGTAGAAGTGCTAGCTTTGAAAATTTTATAGTTGACTCATGACATTATTAGGTACTCACTATAAATTTTGTAGCCTTGGAATATATTGAGAAATATGGTAGCTAAGTATTGCTTGTTTTAGTTTATATATTAAATCGATAACAAGAATAGGGATGTCGTTAGTTGCTAAGTTAATACATGAAATGTTTCATACCTGTTTAGTGGTCATAATAGGTAACTTAGCATCTTAGTTGGTAGAGCTAGCTTAGTAGCTTGATGGATGTATTTTTATTTTAATAGTTGCTGTTGCCGTATTATTAAGTGTTGCATCATCATTTCTTGCATGTAGATAACGAGTTGGTAGAGTTCATGCCTGCGGGTGAGCAGGAGTACGAGGAGATGATCAAGGAGTTTGAGGAGGAGATTCTCGTACAGGAGGGAGACCCGGAGCCATTAGTTGCTGACTTTGTGGACACCCGGCCTGCCTAAGACAAGCCCCGGTGCATAACCCTTATTTTGAATGATCACTGAATATATATATGATGTGCATTTATGTTACAGGCATTTTATGGAAACTACATGCATAGATATATCTACCTATGAGTCCTACTAGCATAGGTTGAGTAGTTGCTATGCTCAGGATTTCGGTAGCGTGAGTAACCTGCCCTTACTCACAATAGGTGATTATTATTATCACTCATGATAAAAATGGTGAAAGGAAAATGGAGACTAGGCAGGGATATGGTTCGGGTATTGGTGGGTGTAAGACGTTGTGTCCTACGGCCAACAGGGCATAGCTTGGTTATACTATTTCTGTGTCTGTATCGGTTAAGGACCGGCCATTGCATTGGGTTCTAGGCAAGTAACAGACTTATTATCCTGAGCACAAACTTGTGTATGGGCGCAGAGAAGGCTTGTTACTCTCTTGTCGTGGGTTTCGGCTCTTTCCAAACCGACTGATTGGAGGCAGGGATGGTGGAGGTCTAAGCACCGCACTGAGTCCGAAACTCAGGAGCGGGGGCTTGGAGTCCAAGTTTAGACGGGGACTTGAACCCCATGATAGGAGAGTGGTGGGTTGGTCTTGCTTGTGCCTGGGGTACAAGTGGGGCGTGTGTTTTGGGGTACCCAGCTAGGCACATTGATTCACGAATCGCCAGCGATCCGGTATGGCTTGTCTAGTCTAGTACCGTAGTAAAAACTGAAAGATGGAAAGTGGTGAAATGGAACAGTTTGCTCAACTCTTGCTTGAAAGTAGAACAAGTGCTTACATAGAATGGTTAGATAATAAGCTAATCATGACTGCTAATAATAAACATACTTAAGGATTCACTATTAGTATTGCTTTCCACAAAAAAAACCCAGCAAACCATAAAGCTTATCATATCCCTTGGAATCGGGAAATTATTCCCACTAGTCGGATAAGTCTTGCGAGTACATTGTGTACTCAGGGTTTATTCACCCCTGTTATAGGCACAGCTTGAGGAGTAGCCGTTGCGTGAAGGATTCTTCTGGTGGGCACAGACGGATCCTTGTATATTATCGATAGATGTTTCTTTTTATTCCGCTATTAAATTTTTGCACTCTGAATTTGGTACTGTAATAATATATTTCTAAGAACTTTGGATGTATGAAATGGACTAGTAATGTAAACTCGTTCTTATTATTGGATCCTGAGGGGAAAACATGGATTATTCGGGCTCTCCCTTGAGGTGTGCTCGATGGAATCCGCCCGATGTAGCTCGCTCTCGGGGTGCTTAGTGTCTAGTGGAAGACAAGCGCCTCCGTAAGTGTGTTATTTTGGGCGGTTCTGCCACAGTTGGTACCAGAGCGAATAATGAGTCTTTGAGTTTCATCACTCTTTTCCAAAACCTAAAATTTGACCAACAAAAGTTTTGCGAAAAGTAGGATGCGATAAAATTATGTAAAATAAGTATAAGCCCTAGCAATATAGTCTATCTAGGATAGCGGCACTAGTTTTATCTAATCAATTTTCTGCAGGTACACTGACTTACGCTACGTAAGAAATCGTTAGCATACGGAAAGTGAGTGTGCGATGTGCCAAAAATTCTTGCGAATGTCGCTATATTTCGGCTTGAGTGAACGTATAGGCCAATGCATGCATCATGATAAGAGAATCTTGCTTAAACTAAACTTCCCCTACAAGTATAATTTGGATTAGTGAATTGATAGGATAAACTAAAAGAATGCTTTAATAAATGTCTTATCACTTCTCTAATCTCTTGTTCCTGATCTGGAGGGTTGTCCTAAATGGTTAGTTCCTATCTATTTTTAGATGAACTTGAGATCCGGTCGTGGGAGCACTAGTGCCGGAGCGGGCCATGGTCTTGGCGAAGGCCAAGGTGAAAGTGGCTGGGGCAATGGGAATGGCAACGGGGAGAGCCATGAGTCTCCACTTCTGGCTCCTCCTCCTCCGCCACTGCCACCTCCGATGACTCATGCGGAGATGATGGCGGAGATGTTGGCTGCTCGTCGTGAGTCGGCCCATGCCATGGAGCTGTTGGCACAGGATATCGGTGGCTTTGCCCGTGGAGGCCACGGGGGAAATGGTGGGAATGGGGGTCGTGCCCGCGGTCCCGAGGGACCCTGCTCTTATTAGGATTTCTTAAGGATGCACCCACCCACGTTCACACCGATGGCTGAGCCTCTGGATGCGGAGCATTAGCTTCGTATTCTAGAGCAAAAGTTTCTGCTCCTCATCGTAACAGAGGGGCAGAAAGTGTGCTTTGTAGCGCAACAACTTTTGGGATCTGCTAGTGCATGGTGGGACACATTTAATGCCATGCAGTCGGCGGATCACCGTGTGACCTGGCAGGAGTTCACTGTGGCCTTCAGAGAGTATTACATTCCTGTTGGTGTTCTAAACAGGAAGTTGACAGAATTTCTGGACCTGAGGCAAGGAAGCCTGTCCGTGATGGACTATGTCAACAAGTTCAACCACTTGTCACAGTATGCTGGGACTCACGTTGATACGGATGAGAAGAAGAGGGACTGTTTCTATCGTGGTCTCTCTTGCATCTTGCAGGAGTTATATACAGGAAACTAACAGACCTTTAGGGCGATGATGAACGCTGCTATTGCCATGGAGGGATTGCAGCGTGACTCTCAGGCAGAATGGAAGCGCGAGAGGATGGCTACTGGGTCTTCTAGTCACCCCTATGCTCAGAAAGTATAGGTTGTTAGGCGGGTGCCCTATCAGTCTTTGGGTGGGCATTTGTTTTGACAACCTTAGCAGACCTTTCAGGCTCCTTCCACTCAGTATCGTGCACCTACTCAGCAGATGCAACATCAGCAGCCTCAGGGACAGCAGGTCCCACCTCGTCAAGGATAGGGGAACAAGCCTGGTGCTTGTTTCAAGTGTGGCAAGAAAGGCCACTATGCCTGAGAGTGTTCACAAAACCAGCCTGTCCAGTCTGCTCAGCCCTCAGCTAACTCTCGCCTGATCAAGCGGACAATTATTAAGAAGAAGGTGGCAGTCAACCGTTCTGGACATGTTAATTTTACGGAGGCTGAAGAAATATTGCAAAATGAACCGGTGATGGCTGGTATGTTCACCATTGATTCCCATCCAGCTTATGTGTTGTTTGATTCTAGTGCATTGCATTTATTCATGAGCATAGGATTTGCACACCGGCACAATATACCTCTTATGGCTATACCTTTTGCCTATAGAATCAGTACTCCGGGTGCGCAGTTGTGCGTTAATACTCGGACGGACACAACGGGCTTAGTGCTAGCCACTCACACATACCGTCTCCAATTCATGGTGCTGCCTAGGCAAGGCATTGATGCAATTCTGGGAATGAACTGGTTACGTGTATATGGGGTAGTCTTGGATCTGAAGCAAAGAGTTGTTGAGTTATGACTTTCTTCTTCTGAGGATAGGATGTCACTTCTTATGCCCTTAGATCCAGCCTTACCTGTTGCTGCTCATGCTGAAGCTTCTCCTAATCTTGTCTTTATTCCTATGGTCTATGAGTTCCCGGATGTCTTTCCTGAAGATCTACCTGGGTTGCCGCCGGATAGAGATGTGGAGTTCTCTATTGAGTTAGAGTCTGGCACTGCTCCTATCTAAGGATGAAAACGATACGGAAATATCTCAAACCGAACCGCAGTCGTTTTCTACATTTAACCCGATCGAATTCATTTTTTGCGGACAAAAACGGATACTAAATTCAAAAACGAAATACGGAGTACATAATTCGAAATTCGGTACGAAATCGGTTTGGGCATTTGTTCGTTCGATTTCTACATTTCTACATTATATTCGAGATATACCGAATTTAAATTCAGTTTAGAACCGAATTTGGTCCAGCAGGGCAGAGGGCACTAGCCCATGTACTAGCCAAAGAGGCACTAGCCCAAAGAGATGCACTAGCCCAACCCAATAACGGTTAACCCCTAATCCCCAAACTCCCACTAGTCCACTACCTGTCTCACCCATCCCCAGGTCCCAGCGTGATCGCCTGATGGCTCCTCACCACCCCTCCTCATGTTGCTTTGGCTAGCCCATGCGGCGCCGTCCGTCCGTCCCCACCGCCGCGTGCGAAGGTCGGCGAGGCGGCGCGCTTGAACCTCGCGCCGCGACGAAGCGCTCCAGTGGTCCGCCGCGCCGCCAAGTTCTCGAGGTACGCCGAGCACCGCCCGCAGCCTCGCTCTCTCTCTCCGCCATGCCGATAACGTCGCGCCGACATGCGTGCCCATCGATGGCGCCCACCAAGATGGCGTTTACTCATCCCACGAAGGGCAAGGCCAAGGCCAAGACCAAGACCGTCGCGCCAACTTCTTGCGCACGACAAAGACGGGCGACACGCACTTGCAAGCACCGCGACTCACGACTTCTCCAAATACCCACCTCCGGCTCTCTAGGTACGATCGATCTGGGGTCTTGATGTTCCGCTTGGCGCTTCCTCCTGCTAGCTATTTTACATTGCCATATGCTCTCATACGAACCGGTGCTAGAATCTTTGCAGACATGCACTACTAGCTAGCACGTGTAAGACATATATGTTTCTAGATTGATGAAGTTTTAGTTGTGGACGTGTGATATCATACTGAGTAGAAAGTTTCAGTCTCAACTCTGAACATGTATGATATATCTGATGCATCGTTCAGTATGTTTTCTTTTCTGAAGATTTGTAGTCTTGATATGTGTGTTGTTTGTCAATGCTGGAGCGGTACATATGAGTCTGCTGGCTAGGGACATACACTAATCCCCTCCAGAAATTCAGGATTGGAACATCAACTTAGTATTATTCAGTTCTGCACTGAGTAATAAAGCCTGGTGACACTTGTGTATGAAATGATATCTTTTATTTGGTTAGGCGGTTGTATATCGGATATATCTTAGTAACCATCAACAAAGCTTTGACTCGATGATGATGTGTTTGATCAATTGCTCAAGAGTGACTAATAAACTGGACAGTCTATGGGTAATGAATTTTATGTTCAGATAATGTTCACTTGGAAACCGCAACAGTACATTGGTACCAGGCAATTGCTAGTTTTTAGGAATCTGGTGCGTATCAGGAGATAAGAAAAAAAAACACAGACAAATCTGCTGTCCATTTCAGAGCCACGCTTCTATAAGATGCACAGGGACCCCTTTCAACAAAGATTTTACTATGTTAAATTTTCTAGTTAACTAGCCATGACAACCGGCAGTACATGTTAACACACTTGTATTAAACATAAAACTAGAGGCATGCGATACATCTAAATCAATCTCACTGAACTGTATGCGATATGTCATACTCCAGTAGATATTGTCACCAACTATGCGATTGTGAACATCTTTTTTTTCTGGACACAAAACCAAAACCTGACACAAAGATTAGATAAGCACGGGCTATGAGGCTAGATAAAACCTAGTCTTCTATTTTGGTGCAGCATTGATTTGCCTTTGTAATTAATATTTTGTCCTGCAAAATCTGATATTTTTATTGGGAAAAACTATAGTTTTTATCAAAATCTGATATAGTTTTTATTGGGAAAAATCTGATATATTTTTATCAGTACTCTAACTTATTTTGGTCATTTTGCTTGATCATCAGGATCTAGGAATAAAAGGTCTGCATCTCAGAGTATTAGCTCTAGAACTTGTGATAGTCCAGCCACACAAGCATCCGTAGCAGCGTCAGTTTCAGTGATCGGTTCCAGTGCTCCTATTGTTGACATTGACACCAGTTGCACTGGCGCTGGCACTGGCACTGGCCCAGCCCAACCTGGTGGTGCACCAGCAACAGACACACCTGCAGCTCCAGTTAATATCGGCGAAGATGATCAAGATGATGAAGAGCAGGCTCATCTTTCTGGCAAGAGGTACAAAAAATGCACATCACATGTCTGGAAGTATTTCACCAAGAAAAAGGAGGTTATAGAGGTGGATGGAAAGCAGTATGAGCAGCTATGGGGGTACTGCAATTTCACTAGGTGCAATAAGAGGTACAGAGCTGAGGGCCCTTGTGGGACGACTGCATTCAAGAGCCATTTGAGGTCAAAGCACAGTATTGTGGAGGGACAACAACAGCTTAATGTTGGTAAGAGCACTGGTTCTGAAATTGCTCATATCGTGCCTTTCAAATATGACCAAGAAGTTAGCTTGAGGAAATTGAACTTGGCAATCACCATGCATGAATATCCTTTCAATATAGTTGAGCATGAGTATCTTGTTGATTTCATAAAATCTCTTCGGCCTAGCTTTCTGATAAAGTCTCATGTCACTGTTAGGAAAGAAATAATGGACATATATCTTGAAGAAAAGGAAACTTTGTATGCACACTTAAAAACTATCAAGTGCCGCTTTAGTGCAACAATGGACATGTGGACCTCATGCCAAAACAAAGGATACATGTGTGTTACAATTCATTGGATAGATGATAATTGGCGTATCCAAAAGAGAATTATTGGTTTCTTCAATGTAAAAGGTAGACATACTGGTGCTAAGTTATCCGAGACATTCAGTGAAGTTATGGTTAAATGGTACATTGAGAAAAGACTGTTTGCATTGACTTTGGATAATGCTAGTTCAAATGAAGTGGCTGTCAATGATATAATTTCAGATCTAAAAGAGAATGGTAATGGCTCCCTAGTGTGTGATGGGCTGTTTTTTCATGTCAGATGTGCATGTCATATTCTCAATTTGGTTGCTAGAGATGGGTTGAAAGTCATTTTAGAAACAATTAGCAAGGTCAAATCACTTGTGCTAGCTGTGAAAAGGTCTCCATTGCAGTGGGAAGAGCTTATGAAGTGTGCCACCGAAGCTGGGTTGGATACAAAGAGGGGTATTCAAATTGATGTGTCAACAAGGTGGAATTCTACCTACCTAATGCTGAGAGATGCCTTGTACTATAAGGATGCATTTATTAGGCTGAAGTCTTCAAATCGCCGTAGGTATGCTAAGATTTCTCCATCTTCTGTTGAATGGGAAAAGGCTTTGACAATTTATGGTTGTCTCAAGAAATTTTATGATCTCACTGAAATTCTCTCTGGCACTTCATATCCTACTGCAAACTTATTTTATAGAGGTTTCTGTGATATAAAGATCTTGCTAGATGATTGGTGCTTTAATGAAGATGATACAATTAGAGAAATGGCTGTTGCTATGAATGCAAAATTTAAAAAATATTGGGAACAGTCCAACATTGCTCTAGCTGTAGCTTGTTTTCTTGATCCAAGGTATAAGAAAAGGCTAATAAACTACATGAAGAAGTTCCATGGTGATCACTATCAACTTGCACTCGATGAGTTTATTTGTGTGGTAAAGAAACTATACAACTTTTATGCTAGTTCTGCTCCTGCACCAGCAAAGAAAACTAGTAGTGTGGCTGCACCTGGACCTAAGTAACACAGCTGATGTATTAATGGGAAATGTAGACCATGACCTAGAAGAATTCCTATATGATGAAAGTGAACATGCTATGGTTGAGACAAATGAGTTGGAGAGGTATATGGGGGAACCACTACTGAAAATTGTTGGTGAGTTTGACATCTTAGCTTGGTGGAAAAACAAGAGAGAAGAGTATCCTATCCTTTCACAGATTGTTCGGGATGTAATAGCTGTACAAGTATCAACGGTAGCATCCGAGTCTGCATTTAGTGCTGCTGGTCGTGTTGTTGATCCCTATCGCAGTCGTCTTGATCCCGAGATGGTACAGGCATTAATTTGCACAAAGGACTGGGTTGCTGCAGCAAGTAAAGGTGGTCATTTTATCTCTTTTTCAGTTATACACTTGTAATTGTAGCATAATAATGCATTGATATTTTCCCCTTACTAATATTTTGTTCAGATGCGAAAGTGGTTGGATCAATTGTGAGTGATCTTGAAGTTGATGCTTTGACTAATGTTGTGGCTAAACTGAAAATTGAGGTATGTTTATCCTCTCCTCTGTCTATATTTGATGTTGGCTGCTGTTAAAGCTATCTTGTTGAGTGGAGTAGCACACTGCACACACTTTCAACTCCATCTATATATGGTGCCGTGGCATGCATGTACTTGGTCTAGTACTGGTGGCCTACTGGAGGGAGGATCGGGTTGATTGTAGCACAAATAAAAACATTTCTTATTCTCATACACTGATCACACTAATACCCAAAGAGAGTGCATTGCATTATCAGTAAGCCTTAATTATCAGCATATGCATGTTCTGGCAAGGAGAGATGGATCGGATGCACTAGCTAGCTGCCATATGCAACTCGGCTGATTCTATGGAACTCCCTAATGCTTCTCTGTATATATTCACTTTGCAAATTTCTAGGACAAGGACAAGGAGGGCGATGGGGACTCTGAGGAGGACAATGAGGATGCAAAAGACATGGAGAGCGATGGGAACTCTGATCCTGACATCATGGATGATGCTGATGAGCTCTAGATGTTCATGTTCTATTAATTGTGTGTCGTACTACTTAAGACCACGGGTCACGCACTTGTTAATTTGAACTAGATCATGCACTTGTTAGTCACGAACTTGTTATGTATTTGGCCATGAACTTGTTTAATGTTATGCACTGTGGGTCGGTTCGTATTGAATTCTCGTATATCGACCGTGTTCGATATAATTCCGCTCAAATTGTTTCGTTTTTGAAATTCTCGATATTCCATAAGTTCGTGTTTGTTTTCGTGTTCGGTTTGTCCGCTTTCGTTTTTGTTTTCGTATTCAAATGTAAAAGTAGAAAACGGTTGAGGAGTTCTCCGTTCGATTCCGTCCGTTTTCATCCTTACTCCTATCTCCCAACGCCCATACCGCATGGCCCCGAAGGAATTGGCTGAAATGAAGAAGCAGTTAGAGAGTTGTTGGAAAAGGGATTCATCCGTTCTAGCTCTTCACCATGGGGTTGTCCAGCCATTTTTGTGAAGAAGAATGATGGCACTCTTTGGATGTGTGTGGATTACCGCCCTCTCAATGCGGTAACCATTAAGAATAAGTATCATTTACCTCGTATTGATACCTTGTTCGATCAACTAGCTGGTGCAAAGGTGTTCTCCAAGATTGATCTCCACTCAGGCTATCACCAAATTAAGATTAGACCACAAGATATACCAAAGACAACTTTTTCTACTAGGTATAGGCTGTATGAATACCTAGTCATGTCTTTTGGTCTCACCAACGCTCTTGTATTCTTCATGTATCTCATGAATTCACTATTTATGCCGGAGTTGGACAAGTTTGTGGTGGTATTCATTGATGATATCTTGATATACTTCAAGAACAAGAAAGAGCATGCCCAGCACCTTCGGATAGTGCTGACTCGATTGAGGGAACACAAACTGTATGCCAAATTCAGTAAGTGTGAATTTTGGTTAGATCGAGTGTAGTTTTTGGGGTATGTTCTGACACCTGAAGGTATCTCTGTGGATCCAAACAAGGTGCAAGATATACTAAATTGGAATTCTCCCAAATCAGTACACCAGATTCGTCAGTTCCTTGGTCTTGCTGGATATTATGGGCGCTTTATTCTTGACTTCTCCAAAATAGCTCAGCCGATGACCAAGCTGCTCTAGAAATATGCCAAGTTTGTTTGGAGCCTGGCTTATGAAGAAGCCTTCCAAGCTTTGAAGAAATTTTTGACCACTGCTCCTGTTCTGGCCCAACCAGATATTTATAGACCTTTTGATGTATATTGTGATGCCTCAAAGATGGGGTTGAGATGTGTGCTTATGCAGGATGGGCGTGTGATAGCTTATGCTTCACGTCAGCTGAAAAAGCATGAGGTGAATTACCCCACCTATGATTTAGAGCTGGCTGCTGTGGTGCACGCTCTAAAATTTTGGAGGTATTATTTATTGGGAAATAAAGTACACATTTTTATAGATCACAAGAGCCTCAAGTATATTTTTACTCAGTCTGAGTTAAATATGAGGCAAAGAAGATGGTTGAAATTAATCAAGGATTATAACTTGGAGGTACATTACCACCCTGGAAAAGCTAATGTGGTAGCTGATGCTTTGAGCCAGAAGTCATATCAGGTTGAAGAAGCACCTTTGTCTCTCAACCATGTTGAGGTGCTGACTCACATTGCCATAGTCTTAGATTTACTTGAGCAGATTATTATGGAGCAAAGGCAAGACACTTCAGAAATTCCTCACATCAAGAAACTAATTGCCGAAGGGCGTGGTCCTCAGTTTAGTATTGATGAGCAAGGGGTAGTAAGGTACAAGAACAAATTGGTGGTGCCATCAAATGAGGAGCTTAGAAGGAAGATTTTGAATGAAGCTCATCATTCCAAGTTGTCCGTCCATCCTGGTAGTAACAAGATGTACCATGATTTACGCCATTTGTATTGGTGGTCCAATATGAAACAGGATATCACCAAGTACGTCGCGGAGTGCGACACCTGTGGGAGAGTTAAGGCAGACCATATGCGTACGCCGGGATTTTTGTAGCCTTTGTCCATTCCTGTTTGGAAATGGGAAGATATTTCCATGAATTTCATTGTGGGTTTACCACGCACGTTCAAGGGCTATAACTCTATTTGGGTCATTGTGGATCGTCTTACCAAGTCCGCTCATATTCTTCCAGTGGATACCAGATATTTAGCCAGGAAGTATGTCCAGTTGTATTTAGACCGAATTGTGACCTTACATGGAGTTCCTCTTACTATCATCTCTGATAGAGGGTCAGTTTTTGTCTCTCGCTTTTGGGAGCAACTCCAGGAGTGTCTTGGTACTAGCCTCCTCCGAAGTTTAGCCTATCATCCACAGACTGATGACCAAACAGAAAGGGTAAATCAGGTACTTGAGGACATATTGAGAGTTTGTACCATTTCTTTTCCTGAGAAGTGGGATGAATGCTTGAACTTAGCTAAATTTTCTTACAACAATAGCTATCAAGAAATCTTTCGTATGACACCCTTTGAAGCTGTGTATGGAAAGAAATGTAGGACACCACTTAACTGGGTTGAAGTGGGAGACCATGGATATTTTGGGCCTAATTTCATCAAAAAAGCTCGAGAGCAAGTCGGTATTATTCAGAGTCATTTGAAGGCAGCTCAGAGCCGACAGAAAGCTTATGCGGATAAGCGAAGAAGGCCTTTACAGTTTGTAGTTGGGGATCATGTGTACCTCAAGGTGTCTCCTATGAGAGGGGTGCATCGGTTTGGTGTCCATGGCAAGCTAGCCCCTCGATATGTGGGACCTTACAAGGTTTTGGAGCAGTGTGGCCCAATTGCTTATCGTCTCCAACTTTCAGATATTTTATCGGCGGTACATGATGTGTTCCACGTATCTCAGTTGAAGAAGTGTTTGCGGGTCCCTGATGAAGCGGTGGAAATTGAAGGACTTCCCCTCTAGCCTGACTTGGCGTATATTGAGCATCCTGTCAAGATCTTAGATGAGAAAGAAAGAGTGTCGAGAAGCAGTGTGGTGAAATTCTACAAAGTTCAGTGGCAAACCACTCGAAAGATGAAGCAACGTGGGAGCAAGAAAGTTATATCTTGAAGCATTACCCCCCATCTTCTTTCTGGTTCATCGAGGTAGTTGCTTACATTGAAATGTATTTCTTATCTCTTTTTCTACACTAGGCACATGAAATCTTAGGACGAGATTTTGTTTATGGGGGGTAGATTTGTAACACCCTCGGTGTTACACTATAAATCTTTTGTTGAAACACTACATGAGCATCATATTTATGTGTTAATGTGTGTAATATAGTGTGTAAATCAAATTATGTGACTTAAAACGACTAACGGGAGCGCTTAACGAAAGGTTGTTCGTGATGTATGAAATTATCAAGTACGGATGTTCGTAAATTTTTATTGAAAGAAAACACTATAGAATGTATATACAGAACTTTAGTAAAGTTAGAAGTATGAACGTTGTAGTTGACGGTGAAATACCTGCGGTCGAATAATGAATTCACTAGCTAACATACCTAATAGCTTGGAGATCGAATTTGACGCGAATCCGATCAAGACTTAGTCAAATTTCTTAAGTCGGAAAATGGTTTGACAAGACAAAGTTTGGCAATTTTTGTAGAGTAATTGGGTTGAGTGATGGGGTATTAGGGCTAGTTTTAGTAGCCAAATATGCCCTCTTGAGAATTGCATAGGTGGTTTGGTGTTTGAATCAACAATTTGGATTTTTAGGACACTTTAAAAAGCGTGCATGCACGTTTCTAGCCGTTTTTAGCGACTGGGCGCGGTCACCGTGCCTCGGCACTCGGCGTCGTAGAGCTGGCTCACCCAACCCGCGCACACCGCCATGCAAGCTCTGCGTCGCCGTTGCCGCGCCTAGGCACGTGACTCACGCACGCAAGCACATACGGCCTCACGCGCACCACTGCCATCGCAGGCCTAATGCCCTGACCAGTCCGTTGCCGCCTACCTCGCCGTGTCACCGCGCTGTGGCTGGCCACAGTCGCGCTTGCTGGGTCGCCCGCGTGCGCCCACGCCGCTTGCGTCGCGTCCGCCTACGCCACGTCCGCCTACGCTACTGCGCCACCGTCCCGTCACCGTGCTACGCCGCGCTGCCACCACCGCGCCACAGCAATCTGCTGTCACGTCCGCCTGCACCTCTGCCTCGTTATCGTCACAAATTCATGCACGTGGGCTTGCCGAGGTCACGCGCGTGTCGTTTCACCATTAGCGGCGCCACGGCCGTGCTGCTACGCTGCCACCGCCCGCATGTGGGTATGCCCCCTTCTCCTGGCTGTGTTGGCTCGCAATGATTGCACGAGTGCGGCCGCCGCGTCCCACCAAAGCTTGGATAAGAAGCCGGCCCCATCCCCTCTTTCCTTTCCCTCCTCTACTGCCGGGCCAGGCAGGCCACGCCATCAGTCCGGCGTGGTTGGGTCTTGTCCATTCAATTCGGTGCGCCCCCAACTCCGTCTTCAAGCCTGCTAGCCAACCGACCCCGCACCGTGTCCAATTACGCCTTGGCAAGCTCCAATTTGGAGCCAGACGTCCGCCGTCGTGCCATTAAAGGCTTAGTCACCGTTGCCGTGGGCATTACCCACCTGGTCCTCCCGAGCCCAATTGGTTGTGCTCCCAGCCTCGCCTCGCAGTCCTTCTCGACGTGCGCACCCCACTTGCACTACTACTGCCTTCCCGACGCCGCTGACAAGGTCGCGCCCCCACCGCCCGTCGCGGAGCTTGCCGTGTGCGCATGGCCGGACTCACCCGGTCCGTCCGCGGTCAAGCCATCACCACAGGTAGCTTTGGGGTGAGTTGCTTGTGCCCATCCTTTGGTTCGTTCGCTTCGTTTGTGCCTTGGCTCGTGGGAACATGGCTACCGCCGCCGCAGGGTGTCCGCCGCCGTGGAGGGAGCTCTGGACCGCGTCTCCGTTCATCGCTTCACCGCCACCGCTGTCGATGTTTTACCACCGATAGCCTGCCACAGGGGTACCGTGGCAGTATAGTTCGGGCTTCGGCGTAC